TGTGAGGAATTTTGATGTGTCCTTCAATGTATCCTCCGTCCCCCACGCACATGGTTAGCCAATCACAGCGCTTCGTGATGATGTAATGGCTTAGATTTAGATAATTAGATTTAGCTCAGTCAAGGGTCAGTGAAGTATTAATCATTTTAAGAAAGATGATACTCATCATCATAGATTCATGTATGTGAATACTTGAATGTATACATACATGTTTTCGTCTGTCTTTCAAAGTCGATACGACAAACCCAGTTCTCATTAATTATTCTGAAATTCCGAGTTTATAAAGATTGAAAGGTCAATCATAACTGAAATGTATGGATCGGTGGCGTTGTTTCGTGCTCCAATGATGGCCTCCTTTGTGTAGCAAGTGAGGCCAGTGTGCAGGTCTTTCAATCAGAATAGGGGATTGGACCCCAATTTATGGCCCCAATTTAACCACTTTGGGATATGCCTCTATCTATCAATTACACGCGGCACCTTTGACCGCAGCGGTACATCAAAAAAAGTGACACGTGCCGCCATCTTCTCAAACGCAGCCTTGATGTCCGTGGCCGCCGAAAGAGCGGTATTTGCCCGCAGACAGGATTTTGCTGCGCGTGAAATTGGAGAAAATGAAACACAAATGTTCCGGCTCGCCTTGTGAAAGGTTATACCGAAGCCAGAGGCATTTATACAAAGATTTGCAGTAGCTTTTAGAGCTTACGTCTACTGCGTACCTCTCTATATGTAAGAAGTGTTAGTTTATAGATGGCTGGGAGGCATTAGCCAAGCTGCTGCTGAATTGTCTGGATTCTAGTGAGTCATGACTACAGGACAAAATAGTGGAGTCTAGGATGTGCCCAATCTAGAGTTAACGACAAACATAAAATACAATCATCATACACCTTGTAAATTTGTGTTTTTCTGAAGAGTGAAATATAGTACAGTAAAATTTGGACCATTATGAATTATTGTAAATTAAGAGCATTTCTGGTTTGATCACATTTTGCAAAACTATAACTGTCACAAGAAAGGGTATGAAATATGTTCCAGACATCACATCTTTCATAAATTGCATTGAGTAACATGCCTCTGAAGTTCACAAAGACTACTTATAATGAATGGTTTAACTTGCAGTAGTAAAAACACTTTTCCCAATAACAAAATCAAATAAAAAGATATGAGAGATCTGAATTATTTGTTGTTTAATAACTGTACATGTAACATATGCTGCATCTACTGTGCAAGCACAAGACATAAATTATAATATGATAAACTATGAACTTCTCTGAATAAGATCATACATGTACACTTCGATCTTGACACTTCAAGCCTTAGTGTCTACATAATTTTTGTCCCCAAATGAAATTAAGTTTTGTGCCTCCAGGTGACACCTAATTCATCTTTGATCTCAAAACTTACTAATATTAGACAGTATATAATTACAATTACTGGAAGGTATAATAACTGGAAGTGAAACAAACTTAGTCCAGACTAAATTGCATTGTCGTGTAGAATTTGAAAGTCTCAAATAGCTGAATCGAAAAAAAATGTCATTAGAAGAATTACATGCTTGGTGAAAATGCCTCAATTTTTTTTTTCACGTCAACAAATTTTATGCATATTTTTTCCTAAATCAGTCTGCATTTTTCGCTCTCAGTCTTTTTCTTAACAGGTTGATACTTTCATCCGTATATTTCTTAAAGTAATTTTCGATTAATCTTCACAGAACCTACATGTGTACTTTGTAATCCTTTCTTGTCTTCCCAAAAGACTTGGAGACAGCTATGATCTTGGCAATTTTCCCAGCATTTACAGACAAGCTTTCAGTAGCAGCCTCAAGGGGTACTTAACAATTCTGCTTTCTCTTTGACATGGTTTCTTTCAATACATGAAGTAAAAGGCTATCATTTACATGTACATGTAGGTAGTTGTGATGGAAAATTTTGGCTGATAGCTAATGTAATGCATGACAAAGTCAATTTTTTTGTAAAACGTTGGGCTGGTTCATACTAAATCTGCTTACTTAAGATCAAGTTAAACATTATCATTGTACAAATTCATAGACTGAGGTAATACTGGATTTTACTGATATATTTCGTAAGGTTGCACAAAGATTGTGTCTCTGACAGAATCCAAATTAGTATGAAGAAGTAGACAATTTTTTAAATCGGATTAAAAAAAGACAAGAACCATAATATACATTTAGATGGAAACAAAGCTATGAGAAGAAAACATCGGTCTTTAGTTCAGTTGAGTGCGATGTATCATTGAAATTCCAGTGTTGTAGACCATCAGTGTCATGAATTTTTAAACATTTACAAACAAGCTAAAATCCTTCGAAAGTTGCAACCACCGTAATGTATTGGAAACATAGTCAGCCTCACAATATACACTTCATAAAATACACGTTACGGCAGGCTGTGCTTGCGAGCCTTTTTCAGAAAGTGGTTCCTTCAGCTGCCCTGTTTGTGAAGGTGGCTTCTGTCATTGTGGAAGGATTTTTAGCTTAAAGTATATTTCAATAATATCCCTGGGAGTCTTCCATTCAGCTCTTCAGCTGTGAAAACTTACGGATTCCGAAAAGCCCCCCCCTCCCCCAGCCGGTACCCCAGAAATATCATGCTCCTCCTAATGGGATATTGATCCAGAGTTAGGACAGACTTGTAGGAAATGTAAGGTCTCCCCTGGCCTGCTACTTGGCCATTGTTCAAACTACATGTAAGAGCCAGTTCAGATTATATCTTGAAATTGTTATGGGAAGTTTTGACGTCAGAAGATTACAGTAAATACATCAAGATCGCTTGATTGAAAGCATTCTTGTCGTAGTCAGGGCTTCTAAGACCTGCACTGTTTCTTTCTTTTAATGGTAGAAAGTATCCCTTGTTGAGTTATTGGTTTGTTCATTTAAATCATTTATTCGCACGTTGCGCGCTGAGTGAAGTGCGTCAGCGGTAACTAGGAGCAAACGTCAATGAAGTCATGTGTAACGGTTATTAATACACAGGAAGACAGGGATATAATTATACTTGTATATCAGGCTAGTAATGATAGGGATTTGTAACAAATACAGAATACTGTGGATAGAAACAAGTACTATAAATACATGTATTATTGTAGGGACTTGATGTCAATCATGGATTGGTAGTAGGGGTTTTTGCAGTATTTAGTAAGCAGTTGGATAGAACAATTCTGCAGCACAGTTGTGATACATTACAAAATATATATTCATAGTTTTGTGAATTTGCAGTGGAGGGTTCACCGCAGAAACAAACCCACTGCAAACATTTTGAGATTTACATTACAATTTTTCCAATATGGCTAACACCAAAAATGCTTTAATATATGGAATTCAGATTGTCCTTTCCTGAAATTTTTATCTTGAAAAAGAAGACTTTTCTTTGAATAGCTCTATAACTGAAGTTAGCAAGAATAATTTTTGAGTACCAAGAATGTAAATAAATAGAGAGTAGCACAATGGTGAGGAAGAACAATGATGTCATGTAAACACGGTCACTTTTGCGTCTTCATAAAGTTTGGATTTGGCTTACTTGACGTCACACCAGCAAATTGTTTACGTCTGTGTGAAGTTTCTGAGGAAAACACTTGTCACTCGCTGTCCCGGAGCCTGGCAGCGGTGTGAGACGTTTGTCCCAGCCTGTGTCCATCACGGCACATTGACGTCAGTGGTCAGTATTTCTGGGACGCCAGTGGCATACCTGCCATAGTTCCCTTCTACATTACCCCCCTCCCGCCCTCTATGCAACCCCTGTTACGTCTCATCTCATCAACAAGCCTGTCAAGACCCTTCATCCAAACTTGGACATGTCTCCAAAACTTGGTCAAAACAAAATATTAAAAATCAGAAAGATATGATGCTTTTCAGCAGTCAAGTGTCATTATGTCTGTTTAAACTAGATCAAAACTAGAAGTTGATTACTTTATGTGTCATGCTGAAATTTAGGTCTGCGGACTATGTTACCTTATTTGGGCATGGTAATCTGACGATGTGTGTGACGTAAGAGAAATTATTTTTGGCGCTCGACATTTGGGGCGTTGTCGTAAAAGATGATAGTGAGTATAACAGGAGTTAGACAATGCGTCTCCCTTTTTTTTATTATTTTATGTACCTCAAAGTATCGGTGAAGCATAAATCCGGCCCAACTATTGTCTTGGCTGCTTTTTTTCCCCCGAACAAGCATTAAAAGAAGCAGATATACCTTCATGTTCTATAGTGATGGTTGAAAGATAAATTCCCACAGCTACAGATCTAACTCTTCAGGCGAATCATTGGCAAGCTATCCCTGTGACTGATAAAAGATCCTATTACATGAAAGCGCCACAACAGTCGACAAGGAATTAGGCGGACTTGCCCGGTAAAAGCCTGCAAGAAATAAAATGTGCTAACTAGTGGGGCATTTGGAAATAATGTCAGTGTGGCTGGTTTGAAAACTCTTCAAAAAACTTTCAAAAAAGGAACAAGGGAGACAGTAGTTTTAAATGGTACAGTTTGAAATTAAAAGAAAAGAACAATGGTGATGCAATCAGAAAGATCATAGCAGATGCTATCTGAAATGTCTGACTTTTCTTGGAATCTGTCCAGTTCCTATTTATTTTGTATACAAGTGGATATTCTATGAGGATGTCAAAATAACCTTCACCGACACAGCAATGCAAAATGTGGACATTTCAAAAGAAAATTAGCACTTTTTGCTATTATGGCTCTTAATATGATGTATTATTGCGCTGGTGTGTTCTATATTATATTGAGATATCACACCTACAGTGTATTACATACAATGAAGTTTTACAAATTTGAAGTGAGTTAATTTCTTTTTGAGTTGGAGAACAGTTTGATTTTCTTCATGTATTTTACCAACTCTAATGCTAGTAAATTTAAAGTGTTGTTGCAATATAAGAGATGTTGCAATATGCTTATGATGTTATAACAACAGATGAGGTGTGTTATATAACTTGTTGGGGTTCAGATGTCATAACCATGCTGTATATTTTGCCCACAGTTGGTGACAAGGTCCCCGCTGACATCCGCATTCTGCAGATCAAGTCAACCACGTTACGTGTGGACCAGTCCATCCTGACAGGTGAGACAATAGAAGTTGTCAATCACCATTAGCGGTTCAACCAATGAGAGATTGGCAATTAGTGGTTCGACCAATGAGAAAGTGGCTGCTATTGTCAGTCAAATGTTTCCATTTTCATGTTGCATTTCTACATTTTGCGTGGGTCTATATAGTACAATTGTCATAAATTTGGTCACAGCAAGTGAATTTTATTGATGACATCCTTTGCAGACAAAATTGAGACCGTAAACTTTGTAATAAGAATTATAACAATCAAAATATGGCATCACTACAAACAAGTCTTTTATTCCCATATTCAAGAAGTGCAGAAAGTGTCACTAGTGTGGTAGCCTAGTATCACTACAAGTCTACAAATATGGCTATGTACTTAGTGTTAGTCAGCATCTAGGAGGTTTTGCAATAGAAGCAACATATTTGTCTATTTTCTGTATTTTTTCTCTCAAAATCAGGCGAAAATCAATGCACACGCAGATGTCATCAATAAAATTTACTTAAGTTACGGCATTATTCAAAACTTAGTCATTCTTTTTCAGTTGTTTTCCAATAAGTACAACTACTTTTTCGATAGACTTTCAAATTTGAGAGTGGATCATGTACAAATGTACTATATCTTACATCAATGAAATACATGTAGTCTCCACAGTATGTAAAAGATAGGTAGGCTATTTTCTAATGATAGAAAGATTTCCAAGAAATGGAGGGCAGCCCCCTGTTATCTGCCGGTCTGTGTGTAATTTATCATTATGTAACAGTCGAGATATGCAAATGCCGTTGGGACGAGCGCATTACATGTAGTCAGATTCGTGAGATGTATGAAAGGGTCTGGGAGCTTGGGGTGTGGTTGATTGATGAAACAACCAAGCTAGGTCTTTATTTTATTGATGACTCCTTCTGGAGTACCGTATTACAGAATCTGAAGCAACAAAAGTTTGGAAAAGTTTGCTGGTTTATGGGAAGGCAGCTCAAATGTGCTTTCTTTACCATTTTGACTTATTCAAGGGTAATATTGCTACGAGCCAGGGTCGATTTATGTCAATTTTTTTACTAGTCTGGGAGTATTCTTGCGAATCATTGACCATCTGTTGAAATGAGTATGGTTCCTTATTGTTTTTTTGGAGTAGTTCTATAATGCATTTTGTGGAAAGCTGCCCAAATTCTTGCATCAATATTTTAAATGTAGTGCATGTGAGGTTATGCTTGGAGGAGACAATCAGGTGTATGATTACAACGTGCGCCAAGGTTATTATACATTATCAAGTGCGTAATGGGGTAAGATTTGTCGACCTTGCTCCACGCATTATTTCCATTGAAGGTAATGAACCTGATGACAACTGCACTGAAGAGTGAATTCTGCAAACTACACTTCATCAGGAGTGCTAATTAGGTTCAAGCCATTTTAGGGTGTTGCAGACAGATCATAAGTTTAGGCCACACCGATTTAATTTCTTGGTTAACTGATTTTTCTAGAAAAATAGTGGAGCGGGCAGGCCAAAAAAAAATTAAAACAGGCCTAGGCATCCTATTATGGCTCAAAATGGTATGATAAGAGCCATGAAGCCAACACACCAGGCTGGTTCAAAATTTAAACAATGAATTTTGAACTTTTAATGATACCATTGCATTAAAAGATGGAATGACTGTGACAACTAGGATTTGAGAAAAAGACTGTTTTCAACTGTTCAGGGCAAAATACGAGCATTTTGCAGTTGACTCTGAATTTTTTTTTGCAAATCAGAAAAAAAATGAAAAAAATCCATTAACCAAAAGATTAAATTGGTGTGGCCTTCTATCTGTATCTGCATTGTCGGTATAACCGCCCTCCAGTGTAACAACGAGCTTCGCGGGCACATGGCACGACGGCAGCTGGCTATAATTTTACATCAGGGCTGCATTGTTGCAAATCACATTTTCTCTCATGTACATCTATAATTGGTGTATTGACTTGGCTAAATTGAACGTGACTCCAAATGAAACTGCCAAATTTAGCAAAACAAGTACAACCCACTATGTAGAGTACTGTAATTCACAGTAGCAAAATTTTACAGTCTGAGAAAAGTGGACATGTTCACGGAACTATATATTCAGTGGCGACAGGTGCAGTAAAAAAGAAAGTCCAGGAATTATTTGTTGACTGTAATGATAAGTTCACGGTACAGAAGTGACAGTGAAAACAGTGAACATAAAAGTACCGTGAAAAAATCAGGAATTACAAATCTTGTTTGAAGGAATTGTGGGTTAAACAACAAAATCAGCCAATCTTGTACATTGTACAACGTTATCTAAAGCGTGGCCTACACAACCCATCGTTAGCAGGGCCAACCTTGGAGGGAGGGTTTCGGCAGAAATCAATTTTGCTGCATATTTAATCTGGGGATAGATTGTCCCTTTGTCCTTATTGATTGCGGGCTTGACGCTTGTTTAATGCCACCTGTGCCGGGGAACGTGACTCGGAGATTAAGGCGGGGAGGAGGTGATGCTTTTAGCGATAAATGGCGCCGGTCGCTGATACAAAGGGCAATCAATACTGTAATGTGGATCTGGGAGGTAATCAGCTGGGGAGTAGTCACCTCCGCATGGCAAAACTCCCGCAAAGGTGACAGGTGGGACGTCTGTCCGTAAATCGGGCTGACCTTCGACCTTGTACGCCCTTCTGCACGTATGATGTCATCGTAGGTTAGGCTGGGTACAGAAGACAAGATGTGGAGCGAGATCTCTAGCTTATGTGAATGAATGAATGAATGAATGAATGAATGAATGAATGAATGAATGAATGAATGAATGAATGAATGAATGAATGAATGAATGAATGAATGAATGAATGAATGAATGAATGAATGAATGAATGAATGAATGAATGAATGAATGAATGAATGAATGAATGTCTTTATTTCAGGTATTTCACCCATAGAAAACAACGGTACAAACATAGAAACACAAACTATACATACAGCATCTTATATACATTTTTAAAAAAAACTAATTTCTGTACTGACAATCTGACCTCAGAAGACATTGTATTGTGCTGTTGTGAATGAAGCTGGTAAGGGTTTTTGACTTGGCATCGAAAGGCTTCAATCCTTAGCAATCCGCAGTGTTGTGTCCTTGGAAAAGACACTCAACTGCTATTTCCTCACTCGACTCGGGTGAAAATGAGAGAACTTGCAGCAGGTTCAGCTAGGGACATCCTCTCTGATAGCATGCAAAGCTAGAGGTCACATATACATGTTTGAGGAGAGCTACATGTACACCCCAAGCATGTTAAAGAAGCAACTGCACCTAACAAAAAGAGTAGGGGTCCTTCCTGTTGTGAGTGGTTCAAACCTTACAATCTTGTCTGCGGGTTGACATCTTCAAAAAGTGACAGTCACCCTTCAATCCATCCACAATTGTGGTACATTTCTAAACCTATTGAATAGACAAATAAACAAATGCAAAAGAGTGAGTTCAAAGGTGATAGTTACGTTCAAAAAGTGTATCATTGTCTTGTAATGCTGTAAGTTTGTATCTATAGTACATATCTGTACACCAAAGTTTTCCTTTGTGTGACCTGACCCCAAAAAAATATGGTTCCCCCTTTGCAGGTGAGAGTGTGAGTGTGATCAAGCATACGGACCCCATCCCAGACCCACGTGCTGTCAACCAGGACAAGAAGAACCTCCTCTTCTCAGTAAGTCACACTTCCACTGGCACAGGAAGTGACATGACATCACTTCCTGTTGTGGCTTTTCCCCCTGGCCCCTCTTCCAAATACACTCTCTCGTTGTTTATTTATTTCAGAAGATGAACAAATACTTCAGTCTGATACTGCAAATAACCACTGCAGGATGTGATATGGGTGAAGGGTTATTTTTAGATTCCCCAATTTGTTTTCCCTTTAGTATTTTGCTTGTTGTTTCAACTTGAATGTAAATGTTTCAGGCAAAACTACACAGTCCTGGATTTAAAACAAAACCCCGTAGATAACGTAAGGTATATCTATGAGATAATCTGTTGACAGTAAAAAATCTGTAGTACATGAGATATTGTACCTTTGTTGAGAAGGTTACAACAAATGTACTCTCCAAGCAGAGGTTTGGGTTTTTGGGGTATTTTAGCGTGTTTTTAGGCTTTTTAGGTTTCTCTTTTGCACTGAATTTTTTTCCCACCAACCCCCCGGTAAAAAAGCCTAAAACACACTAAAAATACCCCCAAAACCCAAACCTCTGCTTGGAGAGTATCACAAATGTATGTGTTAGGTATACCAACAGGGATTGACGATTTGTTTAACCAGTAATAATTTGAACGTGATGTCTTCCCTCCTCACCAGGGTACCAACATTGCTGCGGGAAAGTGCAGTGGAGTCGTTATCGGAACTGGACTGTCAACAGAGATCGGTAAGGAACTTTAAACATACATTTGTATACCGTTAGAAGATTGAAAAGTACACCTGCTTTTGCTATGGCTCCTCAAAGCCAAGTAAAAGTCTTAATACACTCATGCACTGACTACCCCTTTTTAAAGGATACTGCCACAATGTTCAATGTTGCTATTGGTTATGCTGAATAGTGTTTCTTGCTTGGGCACACTTCAATGATTCAGCATTAGGGGGGTGTACGTAAAGATTTGAAGGAATATGATTTTGTCAACCCAGTGGGCGGAAAGCTATTATCCCGCAGTTCCTCTGACAGGGATTTTGAGTTGCTCCTTTGTGGCCCTCTCCCCTCTGCTATATTGCTCTTACAAGTTCACCCCAGGCTAATGCCTGCGCCTGCAAAGTAGGAAAAAAATCAATACGGCAGTGCCTGAGGTGTCTGGAGGTAACAGCTGTAAAGGAGAGAAGGCCCTGCCCTGTTTCCTAATGGATCACAAAGGTAGAGGTGTCGTGGTGGTACTTAAGTTTGATAACCTTCTACCTGCCGTGGGATCAGCCAAACACCAGATTTTATTATGGTTAGGGTCACTTAGCAAGGTGAGGGTTAAGCGAAATGGCAACTTTCACACTTGCTTTAATCTAAGCCTATTTGTGTTGCATTACAAACTGTCCCTCCCTTTCATCTGACTAAAAATATACCTATACTTAATTCTTTGTTTCTATTTTTCCATACTCCATCCTGCTTTCTAGTAGCATAAGGTTGTCTTCCATTTTTGAATGATTGGAAAAAAAAAACAAGTGTAGTCCTTCTGCATGATGATAAATAACCTTGTGATTTTGTAAAACTTTCCTCCCAACTGTCAACCCTCTTCTTCTCCACCTCTCCCTGTTCCACCCTTGTTTCCTGTTCCCATGATTCCTTGCGGGCCATCCCACCCTAAGGTAAAATCCGTGATGAGATGGTTGCCACGGAGACGGAGAAGACCCCTCTTCAGCAGAAGTTGGACGAGTTTGGTGAGCAGCTGAGCAAGGTACGGTCCCTTTCCCTGCCTCTGCCAACACTGATCAGGAGTGCCCTCTGTCTGATTTTACAGGTGCTGCAGCAACAGTCCTGGTGGGTTGCTGACTCATCTTTTCAAGCTCTTTTTACTCCAGACCACAAGGATATTCCTTCTGGTGGATTGTATGAAGTTTTAAAAAAAGCTTAACCTGTTTGCCAACCACGCTATTCTGCAGGAAAGATCCGTACTGAGATGGTGGAAACAGAAAACGAGAGGACCCCTCTGCAGCAAAAACTGGACGAGTTTGGACACCAACTTTCCCAGGTGACCCCTCCCCTCACGGGGCGACTCTGACCAACTCTCGTCTTCCTCCTCCTCCAACTCGGACCAGTCTTCTTTCCTTTAACTTACTGTTCTTTTCTCTACCCCAGGTCTTTTCTTAAGTCATTGACATAAGGCCACACCAATTCAATTTCTCGGTTATCGGGTTGCCCTCTGCATTTTTTTGGTGTGCCAAAAAAAAAATCAACCCCAAAATGCTCATATTTTGACAGTTGAACTTTAAGAACGTCCCTGTTTCCTAGTTGTTACAGTTTTTCCATTCATCAATGCAGTGATGTGTTAAAAGTTCAAAATTTATTGCTTAAAATATCTGAGAACCAACATTTTATATTGATGTGGCCTAACTGTCTTTCTCCACCATTACTTGTTGTATTACCGTGTTTTCTTTGCAGCACTGTTTGTGTTGCCTTAAAAGAGTTTCTGTAAATTTACAATACTCCATGATCATCTTATCTTAGAGAATTTCTTTCTATCTGTTCTGTCTTTGAACTGCTCTATGATTTGATATGACAGAGTATACATGTATATCCAATGGAAGTATTGGACTAAAGGCTATACATATAGACATTTATCAGCATTGATTGACACAATGTATGACATCCTTGCTGTTTGCTAGAGTATCTTTCTCTTTGTGTCTTCTGACTATGTAGTGTGTTGGATATCTTTAACAGTGTCAGTGAGCAATGTAAGAACGTAACCTACCAGACTCAATACTCAAACAAATCTGCATACACATCCATGTTAAAGTACATGTATATGTCAGGTTAGAGAATACTGTCAGAGTCCTATTTGGAGTCTGTAAATTTTAGACAATGACTTGAAATTTAGGATTCATAAATGGGAAACAAGCCCAACACATTAACAGCATCTTGATCGGGTGCTGATTCTACCTTATCTTCCCAAACATATATTTTGCATTATGTATTTTGGTATAGTTTGGGAAATGTATGAACTCATGTGCTATAACTTTTCAGTTCTACACGTAAATCCTTTGGTATTGTTACAACAAGTTTTCAGTTGTACAAGAGTTCTATAATTTACATTTGTGCACTGTAGATTTTCTCTGAAGGTGACCTTGCTGTTCTGCCCCCCTCCCGCAGGTGATCACTCTGATCTGTATTGCTGTCTGGGCCATCAACATCGGACACTTCAACGACCCCGTGCACGGCGGGTCCTGGGTGAGGGGCGCCATCTACTACTTCAAGATCGCCGTGGCTCTGGCCGTGGCCGCTATCCCCGAGGGTCTGCCCGCTGTCATCACCACATGTTTGGCTTTGGGTACGTCGTAATTTCATTTCTTTTTTTAACAGAGTAGTTCAATGCAAGGTCTATGCGACCACTTCTCGGCATTGAACTAGAAAGATGAGAGAAACATGGCTACGTCAAGAGATGGCGGTGAACGTTTGATTTGAAGGCCTGTAGATTGGTGGGAAACACTTGTCAGGGAGGGAATATTCCAAAGCTTAGCCGTATGGGGAAAGAAACTGTCAATGTAAAAAGATTTCGAACAAGGACGGTGAAGTTGTGTGAGCTAGTGGAGAACCTAGTGGAACGCATAAAAGTTCTTTACACAAGTCTCTTGTGTGTACTGTATAGAGGCAGGGAACTGTATAGACATATGTAACGCCTGCTTCTCCTAGTTCGTCAGTTTTTGTTGACAAGTTTTCCTCAGGCAAAAATGTATCTCTTATGGATGTTTTTGGGGGTTCCTCATTGTAAATTCAACATATGATGCTGAAGACTTGGTCTGAAAATGGTATCAGGATTGAAATTGTTTTTTCCAAGTAGAATGATTGTAAAGTGGAACTCATTGCCACCAAGTACCATAGGGTAACTGCCATAGGGACATCCTCACTTCACAGTTTTGAATAAAGCATCTAATAGATTGTGCAAAGGTTAGGTGTGACAGTTTGTACAGTGTAATGATATACCAAGACCAAGTACCATAGGGCAACTATAGGGGCATCCTCACTTACTAGCTTTCTTAAATAACCCAGATAGATTGTGCAGTGGTTAGGTGTGACAGTTTGTTCAGCAAAATTATATAACCATCTAGATCCGCTGAGCCACACCTGTGAAGCTGGTGTGTAAAACCAAAGAGACATGAGGATATTAAGACATTGAACTTTATTCCAACACACAATTTACAGAGAGATCAAATTTTCAGCGACCACTTCACTCCACGTTATGAAGTGATTGGTCATTAATTATCCTGATGAAGGCGACAATGGTCGCTGAAAATTTGATTTCTCTGTAAATTGTGTGTTGGATTTTTTTGGGAATAAAGTTCAACGTTTTACTATGATTACTACCAACACAGATGAACTTTCAGAGACATGAGGATGTTTGTGAATAACCACAGGTACCAGGCGAATGGCCAAGAAGAACGCCATCGTGAGGAGCCTGCCGTCTGTGGAGACTCTGGGCTGTACCTCCGTCATCTGCTCGGACAAGACAGGAACTCTCACCACCAACCAGATGTGTGTCAGCAGGATGTTTGTCTTCGACAAGGTGAGAGCGAGAAGTCGGCAAAATCAAATCAACAGTTTGATTTTATTTGATCTATTGAAATTGCAACTGTGCAATACATGTGGGACACAGGCAGCTGTTGCTGGTGTTGTGTCCCACACATAGAAACGAATACTGGACGGACAATAGTCATTTTCACTTGAGTTTAGTGGTGAAAGTCGTGTAAAGTGTATTTCCCAAGGGCACAAGATCGGTGGCATGTCCAGACTCGAACCCAGGACCTCTTGGTTCCGAGTCGAGCACGCTGCTGTTGCACCACACGACCCCACGGTTGAATCATTCTAAGCTTTCTTTCATACTGCAGCTCGCATTTTGTGTGGTATAAACAAAAACCTTTGATTTCGTGCATACGTAACCAGCTTATTGCATGTACATTTGTAAGTGGCATACCCAAACCATGGTACATTTGTATATGCCGTTTTATTTAAGCGTGTTTAAGGATGACAATCCTGTTTACAGTTTTTGAATGTTGTGTTGTAAAAGATACTGTCTGCAACGGGAAAAATTCTGATGCAATGTTCACCAAACATTCAAAGAAAACTGTGAAAAATCAGGGTTTTGTGTAGGTGCAGTACCTGTAGTGTTGGAAAATTGAATTTGTTATCATCACTTTTTTTTACTAAACTCCAGGCTGAGGGAGACCGTGCCACATTCCACCAGTTCCGCATCACCGGATCCACCTACGAGCCCATCGGCGAAATCTCCCTGGACGGCGGCAGCAAGATCAAGGCCGGCGACTACGACGCTCTCGTGGAGATGGCAACCATCATGGCGCTGTGCAACGACTCCGCTCTGGACTTCAACGAGGTAATTTTCCACTTTTTGGAATGGTGGGTCAGAATCATGGGTCATGAATATGTCGCATTCTAGAAAACTAAACGGAACATACACGAAGATGCTGCGAGTGGTTTTCAATACACCATGGTGGAAACATGCTACTAATGAACAGTAATACGGTTCGTTACCAAATGTAACTTCAGTAGTCAAATGTCGACGACTAAGCTTGGCCGGACATGTAGTACGTAGTGAAGAACCAGCCAGTACGCTTCTACTCTGGAACCCTGATACCGGTACGAGAAGAGTTGGACGCCCAAACATTACGCTTAAGAAACTTATTGAAACTGAAACTGGCTTGGAGGGACAAGAACTCATCTCTGTGATGTATGACAAACAGTTTTGGCGAGCTAACTTTGTATGCTCCACCTCTATTATGGAGGATGAATGATGAGGATGATGATTGGAATGGTAGCCCCAAGGAAAAGTTCAAATTGCCTTGCTCAATCAGACCACATTTAGACTAGAAGCCAGTAAAATGGTTTATAAATTATATAGGAATGAGGAGAATGGGTGACTAGTGTCATAGTTGGAAGTACAGAAACGACAAAGATAACATAGCAACTGAAAAGCATTGTGGAAATTGGAGAGAAAAAATAGAATCAAACTTGCAGAACAAAATATCAAAAAGAAAATGGAGTCATGATTTACATGCATGACCTCTCTAGGAAAAAAGTTTCCAACACATTTGAATGATCCTTGTACTTACGATCCTTGTACTAATTCGTTCTGATTCTTGTACTGATTCATCCATTATGATCCTTATACAGTAACTTACTGATATGATCCTTGTTTCTTTCTCCGTAGTCTAAGAACGTGTATGAGAAGGTGGGCGAGGCTACAGAGACTGCCCTGACAGCCTTGGTGGAGAAGATGAACGTCTTCAACACTGACTTGTCAGGTACGTCATCAAGTTGTGCCTTTTCTTTTACGTTGTCCTGCAAGAATGGTGGCAGAACTCAGCTTCCAGGGTAGACTCCATGAAGAATTTTGGGTCTAACAAGTTGATGTGGTATCGGTTTTAGAAAAAAGTTTCCTAGTGTATTTTCAGCACCAGTATGTGAAAAAGTTGCAAAAGTGTACTGGGTTAGCTCCCCTACTGTCATGTCATGGCCTCTGTATGGTCCTATACAACACAGCTGTTGGAAGGGTGTTTTAAGCTCTATCAGGGTTATCACTAGTATTTTTTCACAGCATAGGGGTCAGGTACAGAAGGACAAATTTCGCGGTGCAAGTTGTGCATTGAAACTCACACAACCCCCTGAGACACTATTTCTCATTTATTGAGAGTCAGATTTTGTGAAGTTAAGGCTATAGCTTCATTCTTAAGTTATACTTTCATTTTATGCAAGATTTATGAAGGTTCTCCCCCAAAAACACCCCTATGCTGGTTGGAAGACAGGATAGGGGTCCAAATCACAGCATAGGGGGTCCAGATTACAGCATATGCTCAAAAGGCTATGGTCCTTTCTTTCTTTGTCACAATGTCGTCCCTCATGTCTGTAACATGGTTGTGTCTGTTAGGACTGAGCAAGGCCGAGAAGTCCAACGCCTGCAACAAGGTCATCCAGCAACTGATGAAGAAGGAGTTCACCCTGGAGTTCTCCCGCGACCGCAAATCCATGAGCTGCTACTGCACGCCAACCAAGGCCACCAAGACGTCCGTCGGAAACAAGATGTTCTGCAAGGTTAGTACTCACGCTCTTCTCTTGGCCTAGGGCTCAACAAGGCGGAGAGGTCAAACGCCTGCAACCGTGTTTTCCAGCGGATGATGAGGAAAGAGTTCACGCTGGAGTTTTCCCGCGACCGTAAGTCGATGAGCGTGTACTGCACCCCCAACAGAACCACCCGGTCGGTCGGGAAAGACCGGATGTTCTGCAAGGTTTGTGGGGTAACCCAAGTGTGTGTGTGTTTGTGTCTGACAGTCACTGCATTGTCTTGAACTGTCAGCTTGCAAGAATTAGAGACTGAATGACATTATTGGTAATGTATTGCAGTTGAGGTAAAAACATGGAATGAGAAATATTTTGTGATGGTTGATTATGCATGGTTTTTATAATATATTCTTGACGTAATACGTCTTGGTGAAGGCACAATGAATCACATGGGATAATTCCATAGCAAAATATGTTTGAAGTTGCAAAGGAGTCAGGATCACTTTTTTACATTCTGATCATCATTCATAGTGTATTGAAGTATTATTTACCATTTTGTTTTGCCTTACCTCAGGTTTTAGAATGAAACAATCATTTTCACAGCTTTTGAGAGGGAAATATGTGTATCGACAACTGTCACTACTTTCATGTTGACATGATATTGTATTGATCTCTACAACACAGGGTGCACCTGAGGGTATTCTGGACCGTTGTACCCATGTCCGTGTGGGAACCACCAAGGTCCCACTGACCCCCGGCATCAAGAAACAGATCCTGGACATGGCCACTGAGTACGGCACAGGTGAGCCAGGCTGTGTCACTGTCTGTTCTACTCAAGCCCCTGTCATACATAGCCGAATATACCACCTGAACACTGCCGAACTCCCCCCAACCATGGTTAGGAGTAGGTCGGGAGAAAGGTTGGCCGGAGTTTGGCTGTGCCAGGAGAATGTATGAAAGTGTTTTCAAACATCCAGGTACAAATGTATGGGCGGGCCATGGTTGGCTGTGGTCAAGAGGAGGTCAGCAGTGCTCAGGCCATGTTTTGGGGGTCAAATTTGACTCAAATTTAACTCAAATTTGATTCGATTTGTATAGAAAGGCATGGCTTTAATCTAGTCAGATGGCTCCCAAACTTAAGCCAGCCTTGGTTGGTTGGTGGTCGGGGGAAGGTTCTGAATGTGTGACGGTTTACTGATGGGGTAGTTTTTCCGTATCTCAGCATTTTTGGTGGCAGGAGACTGACGTGCCGTGTGCTCTTTGCTTGTTACAGGCAGAGACACCCTGCGTTGCCTGGGTCTGGCCACCATCGACAACCCACCCAAGCGCGAGGAAATGGACCTGGACGACGCCCGCAAGTTCACGCAGTACGAGAACAACATGACCTTTGTGGGTATGGTGGGCATGTTGGATCCCCCCCGTAAGGAGGTGGTTGCCTCCATCCAGGAGTGCTACGGTGCTGGCATCCGTGTTATCATGATCACTGGCGACAACAAGGTAGGAACTCTCAAAACCCTCTTAAGGCATGTTGGGCCATTTTGCTTGCAAAGTGCACAGCAAAAAGACCAAATCAGTAATATGCTGGTAACTCTGCCTTTTGTTGTGGTACCATTCTTTTGTTTCTAGCAGCATATTTAGTAGAACCGGGTAGAAAATGAGTCAAGCAACCAGATGAACTCCCAGACGAGTCGTTTCATCATTTTCATCAGTTTCAGTCACTAAAAAAAAATAGGAGATGCTACCTGAAATGACTTCCCATCATTTTCAGTAAGATAGTGAATGCTATCTAAAAGGACTGACTCCTCAGAGAATTTATCCGTTTGCTTGATTTCTTTGTGTATTAGGCCACAACAAGTAAATTTTATGGATGACGTCCTTTGGAGACCCTAAATCTAATGCGAGAGGGCGAAAAAAACACAAGAAGGGCCCTAAAAAACAAGATGCCTAGATTAGAAATATACTAAGAGACGACAAATGTTAGGACACAAATTGAATGAGGTGACACAGTGTAACAAGCAAGAAATCTTTTATTCATCATCAAAACAGCAATAAATCAGGTGGAAAAGTGGACAGTGAAAAATTTTCTGTTATTGACAGGATGGTCCTGTCAATAGTGCAAACTTTCTGTTATTGACAGGATGGTCCTGTCAATAGACACTTTCTTCGCGTTACGGGTTTCACGCCAATCTGACGATTTGCGCGCGGCACTGTCGTGACTCTTTGGTCATAGTTACAGGAAGCGAAACTTCTTGGTTTTTTTTCTAGGAAGAGGCCAAAATCAATGCGCGCGCGGACGTCATCCATAAAATTTACTTGGTGTGGCCTTATGTAGACTTCTGTTGATAAAACTGTTGGTTAACATGTACTGATTGTGTTCCCTTCAGCTGACTGCCCTGGCCATCTGCCGCAGGATCGGCATCTTCGAGGAGGGTGAGGACTGGACCGGCCGGGCGTACACCGGCCGCGAGTTTGACGACCTGCCCCCAGTGGACCAGGCCAGCGCCACCGTCCGCTCCCGTCTGTTCGCCCGTGTGGAGCCCACCCACAAGTCCAAGATCGTGGACTACCTGCAGGCTGCCGGCGCCATCGCGGCCATGACCGGTGATGGTGTCAACGACGCTCCCGCTCTGAAGAAGGCTGATATCGGTACTTACCATGCTCCTTTTCCTTTGTTTTCCTGAGACGTACATGTACGTTCCCTGGTGGGGTCATACCAAAATGGTGCATACTGCTCTCTCTGCTTAGCACTTATGAGAAATAGTATGGAATTGAAAGTTACACCACTATGACACACTCTGACTATCATGTTTCATCAACTCAACCTACAAAATGTATGTTCTGACAACTCTGATAACCCTATGTCAAAATGTAGGGGTGTCAGAACAAAGGGGTGTTGGAACATACGACTGTCCCTGCACTAGCCCCCTACTATAGTGGCCCCTGTGGTATAGAAACAGAGATAAGCACCTCCCCATACAGGTTTGGGAAGGATTTTAACTGTTTTTTAAACTGTGCTCAGGTATTGCCATGGGATCCGGCACTGCTGTGGCCAAGTCTGCGTCTGAGATGGTGCTGGCTGATGACAACTTCTCTTCCATCGTGTCTGCCGTGGAGGAGGGCCGTGCCATCTACAACAACATGAAACAGTTCATCCGTTACCTCATCTCCTCCAACATCGGAGAGGTGGTCTGGTGAGTGTACTGTTGTGATGTTGTTTAGTTCCTATGACTGGTAAAATGCCTCAAGGCGTAACATGCTAGTTTTGTACAGTAATCACAAGCTGCATAAGTCCAGGCTGTTGTTGCTCACCCAACCTGCATGCTACTCAGAAGGGTTGTAAACTTTATAATCCCTTGACATTAAGCCGTTGTCCACTGTTCATTGAACTTGTAAAAATACTTCACGGGAATACAATGAACCTTTATATACTGTACATAGTTTGTGTTAATCGGTCAGAACCAGTGGAAAAGTAGCTCAACTGTTCATTGAGCATAAATGGTAGCCTGGTTACCAAACTAAGTCTCTGTTTTCCTCTCTACAAATAGATTTTTGCAGGGAAGATGAAAGAGATTGGGGAGCTTAAATAAGTTTGGTAACCAGGCTATGTAAATGGTTGCAGATCGCTTTAACTTTTTTGCTTTCTGCCATGTTTTCTCCCCAGTATCTTCATGACTGCTGCGACTGGCATGCCCGAGGCCCTGATCCCTGTGCAGCTGCTGTGGGTGAACCTGGTGACTGACGGTCTGCCTGCCACTGCCCTGGGCTTCAACCCTCCCGACCTGGACATCATGGACAAGCCTCCTCGCAACCCCAAGGAGAGCCTCATCAGCGGATGGCTGTTCTTCAGGTACGGAGGTCAAACTAGAGTACTGTAAATTCACTTAACATTCGCGGGGACTTAATTTGGTGGTAGGGAGGCAAAAGGGGCATTCGCACAGAAAACTGACTAACATTACAATGTTTGCCATGTGATGATCAAGACTTCATGGTGGAAAGGTCACTGCAAAAACATCAAACATAAAACCACTGAATGTTTCATAACGTAGTGTACATCAACTTGCTTAGTGTCCTTTGAATCCCTGGTAAAGCAGTAGATGTTGACATTTGGCTGACTTGTGTTGGCTCCTTTTTTGATTTCAAGAGATACACTCTAACGGAGAGAAATTCAATGTTACATTGTATTCCTGAAAAGGTACATCGCTGTTGGTCTGTACGTCGGTGCCTCCACTGTCGGTGCTGCCGCCTGGTGGTTCATGTTCTACGAAGACGGCCCGCAGCTGTCCTACTTCCAGCTGGTAAGGAACGCTAGTCTTTCTCTTCCTCTATCTGTATCACCGTTATAGCCTACCTGGAGTTTTTTTCTGTCATCTCAATTTTGTTCGACGTAACGTTACGTCGAGTGCTGGGAAAATTTTGAAATCTTGAACCTCTGAAATGCTACTCCCTGGATTTTGCTGGTAGACTAAGCTTACTTTAATGACATCTTTACTCCCTGATTTTTGTCTATGGATTGGGCAAAATTATTGTCATGAGTGGCAGAATTTGACAGAAAGACAGACACTGGCTAGAATACTAGTCTGTGTGATACAGTTATTGCAGATTCAGAGTGTTTTCAGTTTCATATTTGTTGGTACCGTAAAATATTGACGTATTGACACGGACCGTGGTGAACTTTGGGTAGGTTGTTGACTGAGAAATTATGGGTTCCTGGCTGATAACGAAAGAACAGTTCAATCTTAAGGACAACTAAAGTAGTCTGCAGTTACCCAGTATTATATCTCGGTTTGAAAAATGTTTTATCTGTCTCGAGTTAAACATATTCTATGAGTTCTAAATGTTCAGGAACTCAACGACATTGTACTTCCTATTGTTAACAATGCTTCTTCCCGACAGACCCACCATCTGCACTGCCACCCCAGCGCCGAGGAGTTTGAGGAGGAGTTTGGCGAGGGATTCGACTGTGAGATCTTTGAGGACCCCCACCCCATGTCCATGGCCCTGTCCGTGCTGGTCACCGTGGAGATGTGCAACGCCCTGAACAGCCTGAGCGAGAACCAGTCCCTCATCCTCATGCCTCCATGGCTGAACTTCTGGCTGCTGGGAGCCATCTGCCTGTCCATGTTCCTCCACTTCGTGGTCCTCTACGTGGATGTCATGTCCGTAAGTACACTTCACCTGGCCTCCGGGTTGTTCAAGTCTAAATGCCTGCAGTGTGGACAAGGTGTCAGGACATTTCACTGCCAAGATATCTCACTGTTAGGGCTATCATCGTTAGGGTTAGGGTTAGGGTTAAGGAGCACGTCGGCAGAACGTACTGCGCCTGCGCAGAACCCTGGATTTTTGCGGTTTTAGTTGGATTTTTGGTCAACGTTGCATCTGAATTTTGCCTGTTGCAGACGACATCTTTTCCGACATAACATTTGAAAACTACTGTAGGAATGCTAACCTTATATGAGCAAATACAACCTTATATGAGACGTTCTGCCAAAGTGCTATGTACAACACATTGCGGGTTTTGCGCAGGTGCAGTACGTTCTGGGTTAGGGTAAGGGTAAGGGTAAGGGTTAGGGTTAGGGTTAGGGTTAGGGTTACCGGTAGTGTTAGTGTTAGGGTGAAGGTAAGAATTAGGGTTAGGATAGAGGTTAGTTAGTGTTGGAGTTGGGAATAGGCCTCCCCTTGACCCCAAAACATCCTGACAGGGAAACATCATGGCCATGGACACCACATTGGGTAATAGCCTCCATAGCAGACCTCACTGGATATTTTTTTCAAGTACGCACAGTTTTCTGATAGATACATGTACCAGGTTCTTGCTTGTTAAAATCTGATGGCCATCCACCAATCTGAAAATCAGAACCTGTATACAATCAGAACATGGTATATACATTGTAATTAGAATTCTGTGTGTAGTTGGAGGGAAAAATGCTTGTTGGGTTTTGCAATGCAGGCTAGTCAGGTTATGTCTTTGAAGGTAAGCTACAATGTATGTGTAATCTTGACTAAGGCATGGCTGGAACGCAGTAAAACTACAGTTGGGAAGCAGTATATCAAGATTGAGCTGTTTTCAGTAACCATGATAGCTATGGAAGAAATTGTGAACCTGCTAACCATGTTGAATTTGCTGCATGTACTTTAACGTACACATGCATGTGCATGTAAAGATTTTGCTGAACAGGTGCTTCCATTAACATTGTCAAACAAAATTAATGACTTTGAGTGCATAATGATGATTAACCTTGTACAACATTTTTTGGTCAAAACTGGTAAATGCACACTAATTGCATGATTAACAGAAGCCTTGATCTCTTTCTCTGTTAACTTGTATCATTTTGAATTCATATTTTTGTGTTTTTTTGCTAACAACCTTTGGTGCATGCATGTTATTTTTTTTTTATTGTAACACACGGCAACTAATCCTTTTGCTGACATAGATTAGTTGATTGCATGGAAATACTGGTAAGTGTGACCACTAACAGTTGAACTTTGCTATTTTGGTGCATGGTGTTTTCCCATTTAATCATATCAATGTTTGTAATGCTTTGTAGTGGTACCTTTTTTGTCTGTCAGTTCTCTTCATACTGGAAAATGTGAAACTTTTGTGGTGGCTTTATATCACTGTAGAAGGGATAGGGAGGTTTTCAGTGTTCAAAATTTGAGGTTGAAACAATTCTATGGTACAGGGAAGATATGTTTGTGGTGTCTTGAATTTCCAGGGCTAAGAAAAGAAAACCACCTTGAAAGTTTCACCTTTTGCAGTGTCCAAATGATTTTTCAAGCCAGAATATCAACAAATGCAAGTTTGTTGTAAGTACCAGTTCCTCTCTCTGATAACCGGTAGTTGTTACTCAGGAGTACAGTCAAACCTGTACTTCTGGCCAGCTTTGCATAATGACCACCTGGACATGGCAGCCAAGTTTCGATGGCCCCTTATCTTTTTTAAGCATGAAGAATCCTGTCTATAGTGGCCACTTGTGACTGAAGCTACATGAGTGGTCACTATAGACAGGTTTGACTTCACCGTCCAAATTCCTTGTTCGAAATTTTTTACAGTGACAGTTTCTTTCCCCATACGGCCAAGCTTTGGAATTCCCTCCCTGACAAGTGTTTCCCCACCAACCTACAATCTACAGGCTTTCAAATCAAACGTTCACCGCCATCTCTTGACATAGCCATGTTTCTCTCATCTTTCTAGTTCAATGCCGAGAAGTGGTCGCATAGGCCTTGCATTGAACTACATGTACTCCAATTAAAAAAAATTCCTGTTGCTGAATGTTCTGAATAACTCTTTCTCCTGTGTCCCGTCCACAGACTGTGTTCCAGGTGGCACCACTGAATGGCGAGGAATGGTTCGCTGTGCTGAAGATATCCACTCCTGTCATTTTACTGGACGAAGTCATGAAATACATCGCTCGCAACTTCATCGATGGTAAAGACCCAGATGCTAAGAAATACATAAGTCCTAAGTCCGAGTTTCTTTGGTACTTTGCCGTCATTGGGGCTTTTATAGCTATCATCTACATGCCACCTCACACCTTGTCACTGACTCGGCTTCTAGAACATCTGTCTTCATAAGAAATAACATTCCATTCAAAACTAGGGGGAACATTCCAAAATCTTAGTGCACATATTTTTAAAAAAAGACCTCAGTATGTAAGGGAAAAAGGGTGGTGTTAAGTTATTATTGACCATCCACATGTGCAATTTTCAGATGGTTACAACTGCCCATTCCAAAAATTATTTTATGTGTTGAACAAGTTTTCCAAAACAAATCAGGGGAAAATGCTTTATTATTACTACTGTATCACTTGAAAAACCTGTATGTAAACTATTGGATCTGTAGAGACATGAGATCTAAAAATTGTTTAAATGTGTAACTTTTTTGTGCTTTGGGGGACTAGCATTCGGGGGTTAGAAATGTTCAGTTTTTCTACTGGTGGAAATTCTTAGCTAAATAATGCCGCTGTTGTAGCGTTCTAATTGTTCTGTGTTCTCTCAATTTTTAGAGGTTAAGTGATAATGGTAAGAGTAGAGGTAGTGGTGATGGGATATAAGGTAGCTACGACTGGTGTATGATGAGAGATGCCATGCATGCAAACGTGCCGGACTAACGAAACTTTGTAACCACCCACTACTAGCTACCGAGGATGATTTCAAAGGTAGGCATGCCACGGTCTGCCATTGACATTGTATTACATCGCCTCCCTGGTTGTACATATGCATTATTGGTGCATTTTTATTGAGAAATAAAGTGCATGTTGTAACCCAACAATCCATCCCAACCTTCTAGTAGTTGCAGTGTTTTCTCTCCCATTCAGATGTGGTTTGGGGGCATTGTGATGCTGCCTGTGCGTAGTGTGGAGCATGACGTGTGGGTTGTTACCGTGTGTCTGACGTGTCTAACCTCGCCCTGACCTTGCCTCGTCGCATGCACGCACACACACGTAGTGCAACTGTTGGGTTAAAATTCTTGAACAGAAAAAAAAAGCCCAAAAAAATGCAATTTGTCACCTTGACTTGCTACAGTCTTCTGAAGGCCACTAAAAAGGCCACAGAAGAACTGTGATGTCACACAGAACATGAAAACATTATGCCATTATCGTGTCTTATGTGAGTTGTTCACTTTACAAAGGACATGATGTGGGTTAAGACAACATGCACCACATTTGCACCCCCCTTGACCTAACCTCAACCTTTCTCTCTAACACTGCCTGCAAACCCTTACCTTCTTGATACAGCGTTTAACTCACTCTTATAAGCCATTGCAAGTCACTGTGCACTAGCCAGTGTGTTATTGTTAAACAGGGGAACTTGACTTGAAGCTGTAATGTCTTCCCCCTGGTTTTGATACAATGCCTGGTTGGTGCACTCTTCACATGTGTAGCTACTGCTTGCCCATATTCCTAACCCTGCACCCATTGGTTTGGTTGATGGAGTGAGGACAGTACATGTAGTAGGAGCATGTCTGCTGAACAGAACTACCAGTGTGGTGTGCTGATGACCCTGCCTCCCTGTAAGCCCTTTCTGGCACCCTTTCTAGACACGCATCTCAAACAACGGCTGCATTTGTCACCTGCCTTCCCCCCATGCACACTGTATCCTTTGAATGCCAGTGGTGAATGCTCTGACTTAAATTAAACCACCAGAAGTACTACCTTGTCCACAAAACAACCTAAATCCATAATAGAAGATAAATCCTAAACAATTTAAAGCATTTAACCATGAAAACCCCTCACGTGAAGAAAACATACCTAATGGTTTGACACATACATTACATTATTTCAGCCTCAAAAAACAAAAGTGAACATTTTTGTAGCTAAGTGGCCCTTTTATGAATTTGTACAAATCTGTACAATTCTGTCAGTCAAGTCACCATGCTCCTAGAACGTAGCCAGGTATCCATCCGTATGTGGCTGCCCGTACCCTATCCAGACATTGGGAAAATAGGGTTGGGTATAGGGCCCACTGAGGCGGATGGGTGCCAGGCTATCTACAACATCCATCCATGTTTTGTTAGTTGACTTTTTCATATCCTGAGGTCTTCCTTCCGAGTGATCTGTTTTATGCACACTCTACACATGTTGTGGCCCTTTCCCCTTCCCTTGGTATCCACCTCCAAACGCTACATGTGTGGATGGACAGATGTGAGACTTTAAACTCCACCAATCATTTCTTGCTGTAGGATTTTATCTACCCAAAAAATCCATGGAATACTTGATTTTGAAAATTTGTCATCATAAAATAACTTTCATCGCAATAGTAAGAGGTACACAACTCGTAAATACAGGTAAAAGTGCAGTAAGAAAAGAACCAAAACACATCAGTTTCTGTTAATGTTGCTGTTCTTTCCATGAAAGTCGGCCTTAAAGCCTACCTCATTACTATTACTTCTACAGTTCCAGCTATACTACTGAAATAAGGGCTATATTGAGCATCTTCCAGAGTACCATCTCCAAGCTCGAACTTTCCCATTTGTCAAATATTTGATTTCATCATCTTGTATTTGTTTACTGTTGATTATTATTTTTTTGTTCCACAATAACCTGGCTGAGTTCCGCATGCGATCAGCTTTATTTTCAGTTTCACCTTTTTTTTCAGTTTTTCAACTTTTTTGCATGTGCTTCCTACTTCAGTTATACCTTCATGTACATTTTCTTACTAAGTACAGCTCGGATTTGTGGACCCAAATCCAGACGTGGTTTTTGTGGAGTCTGTGGAACCAATCCTGTTGCTTTCTTGCACGGAGTTACTTTTTGTTTTTATTTTATTTTCAAGTACTTCTTTACGTTTCTTTGAGCATGCACATTTGGTAGCGGTCTCTTGGGCCTTTTCATTCCATCCCACTATCCTTTGCGGCGGAGCGTCCATCCCAGGAACCAGCCAGGCCGTTATTGTGGAGTGGTCCGACCACTGTAACCACCATGTTTCTTTCCTTCCCACAGTTGCCAGGGCGGATAAGGTGCACTAAATGGTAGACCGCTTGCTGCGCTGGATTCTACCGTGTTCTTCGTGATTAAATATTTACCAACCAATAACTTGCTGCTCCGCCTGTATACATAGGCAGCTGATGATGATGATCACCTTTTTAAAAAAAAATCGACAGAATTTTTAGCAAAACTGATGACATTTCGACAGTTTTATTCGAAGATATATTTTCGTTAGCTAAGACTGCAAAGTTGGATTTTGGCAAATAAATCTTGACAAGGCCAACATTTTAAGCAGACGACGTGGAAAAAAATTGCAATAAATGTTGCTGCCTTTGAATTCGGCGGTACGAGAGATGAACATGGCAAACTTGTAAGAAAAGCAGAAGTTATGCAACAGGTTTTGTACAGTGTTTTTTACCTGCAGGTTCTTGTGTTGAATGAAGTATAGATAGTCAAAGAACTTAGGCAACATGGAATGAAAGGAGGCAAAAATGTGCGATTTTAACAGTGAAAAGTCTAGAGATTGGGGAATGTGAAAGGTGGAAGCAGTAATAGAACAGATGAGCAATAAGTCTGACAAAAAACTAGATCCTCCTTGCACTTCATGCCTAGTTCTGTGCAATAAAGTTAGTAGACGTAGTCAAATTGTATAGGTGAAATTGCAATGGAAAAATTGCTATTTATCTTGACTCCCATGTGTGGCAAACTTAGCTACTGTAACTCTTTGCTTTAGTGTAGCCCAGACTGCATTTAATAAAAAAAACGTGGAATAATAATTATCCTTGGAAACGCGAAGCATGGTGATATATTTAAAGAAGAAGAGCGAATCGTGGGCTTGCCGTAATGTAAGAGATATACCTCATTTTGTACTTCCTAGGCATACATGCAGAAGCCATATGGGACAGTTACAAGTTTAAGTCGTTCTGTTTTTCATATATTCGATCTGACTTGGTGTTTCCATCCTCCTTGTGGAGTATTCTAATGTTACAGATGTACAAAAAATGAGAGCAATAAAATCTTCTTGTGTGGTTTTAAAAAACCGGGTCAACCTGGTCCGTTATATGTCAGTGGAACGTCCGTTAACATTTAGGTGGTTTGGGGATTTAGGGATGAATGAATGTTGGTTTAAATGTTGGATTTACTTACAACTGTACTTACATGTGTGAACTGTGTTTGGTCAAAGGTATTACACGTTCCGTGTTACACAAAACAACCCCCCACCCGTACACAACAACAAAGAAACTGGTTTCACATACATCTGTACACCAGGTACTTTAGTATATGAGCTCGTTGGTCAAAACCATGGTTGCAACTTAACCTAATTATGAACTAGCAGCTCCCCGACCAATAAGAGGTCGGTCTCAGGTTCACGGACAAAGCCGTTTGATATATATATGCAAATGTGGTAGGATGCCACTTACAGCTGTCAAAACTGACGAAGGGTATAGGATGTGTCACGCGTGGACAAGGCAAACATATTTGTCAATAAACTACACCAAATGTAACACAAGGAGGCAACCAAACGTCTGGAGATGCTTTCTTTGCCTTTGGAGCAAGTTACAGTCAGCACTTCAAGGAGCAATCTCTCTGACAAGTGCTGGATACAGTACGGATACTGTTTACATCAAGACATGTCCAAACTGTCGTCTATTTCCTCAGGGACTAAGTTCGCACAGAGTTCGTTGTCGTTTTTGTCTGACCCGGGGACCACGTCAGACGGTACGAGGAGAGCCTCCTTGTAGCGACCGTCCATCCACATGAAGCGCTCGGGCGCCTGGAGAGCGTGCTTCCGGACAAACTCCTCGGCCGTGCCCCAATCCACGTACGGCATCACAAGCTTACAGCCCCACGTTACAATGGCAAGAGGCTGGAAGACGAAAGACTCAAGTTAACCAGGAGAAAACGTTACCACAAGCCGTCAGCAGGAAACCTGAAGCAAGAAAACCGTGTCCTAACGATACAAAAATGCTAAGATGCACTTCTACTAGTGTACTAGCAAACAACCATGCGCGGTTTTAAAAACAAGCTATAATGCGATCAGCCTGATATTTTACTGATACGTGGATATTTCAAATGTCAGTCAAATACATACTGATATGACATATGTCTGTACTAATAACCGTTACTTTTGCAAAATATGAGGACGACAGTGTGACATCGGAAATGGTGTCGGCAGGTAACACACCGGTTCCAGTGACTTTCCAGTCTCTCTATAAAGGTAGGTGACAGCATATCATCTTTGGACTTGAATGACAGTATGTCAAACCCTGTCTCTGGGACCAGACTCCAAATTTAGAAATAGAACTACCAGTACCACAGCGACTAGCCAAAGATAGTCACTGACACAGTCCGACATGTCGGAATATCACAACTATAAATAGGGAAGTCATCTCCACTTGATCATGATCGTTCTGTAAACACATTCCATAGTTGTCATTTTGACACTGCCGTCTCGAAAAGTTAATTATAGGTCAGGGTAAAATTGCCGATGTTTAACATTCCGATGGAGGTTGCAGCTGCCTGAGTATGTCAAATTCATGGTCAACATCGTCAGATGTTTTTTAGGGCTGCAAAGGCAGTGCGATGCAAATAAAACTGGTTCTATGAGAGGGGGCCGTCAAGTTTTGACAAAGGACTCGTCCCAGATACTTGAGCTAAATAAAATGTCTTCCTACTGGGAAAATGCAAAGGTACAGAGTAGAAAGTCATGTTAGGGATTTGGTCCCCGTTGTTTTGATCGCATTCGATTCATTGGCTATGGTTAACAGTAACTGGTTCTAGATCCGGCAAATACTAGTAACGACCGATCTCATACTAAAAGTCATAGCCCCGCCCATCTCCCGCAAAACATAGAAATGCAAACAGTTGACGGACACACAGCCGCTCTCTCATTGGTCGAACTGCTAATTGTCATCCTCTCATTGGTCAAACTGGTAATTGTGTTTGACGGGATCTCTCTATACCCACCCTGGTTGGTTCCAGTTTCCTGTACGGGGTGATGATGTGACGCCTCAGGCAGCCCCGGGCCAGGTGTTTCAGCTTGCTGACCTGCGCAGGGCTGGCACAAGGGTGGTACAGGAAAACCGCCGCACCGTGCTGGAAAGGAACGTTATGATCTTTCATGAACCCAGCGACTGTATAACAGATATCATACCCACACAGGGTCTTAAATGAACTGTAGTTATACATCGGAAGCCTCCTTTAGGCTTTTCTACTGATAAACAGGTATGAATGGTAGAATTTGTAAAAAAAAAGGTCAGTAAGGGTAATATTTCCCGACCACGCGTTAATTGAGTTATCTTTGGTTTCAAGTACCGCAAACTGTAAAGCTACAATCATTGTTAAAAAAATATGTGGATTACTTAACTTTATTGCTTTTGAACCAAAACCGACATCACACACAAACTGCGCTCGCAATTGCCAGGATATTATGAATGAATGGGTCGAGATCTGTACGGTACGTTTATAATTTAATCAGAAGTATTTATGGTGATGTCTGACCTCCAGAGCGTGCACCCATCTCTGGGGCGGGATGTACCGGTACTCTCCGTACGCAGGCGCGATGGGACGGTGCTTCCCACTGTTTGGTACAGAACGCTACATGTTATCTATATCGATTATTCAATGATTCATCACCAAGGACAGCACTCATGCCCACACATTCCTGGATAAGATTGGTGTTTTTTTGTTGCTTTTTATGGCTTCACCACATCACGAAGTGCTGAAACATATTGTTTTCTCTCCTGTTTCTTCTCCTTCTCCTGCCATTTTTTCAATGTATCAATCATTCTCACCACTGGTGAGTTCGACGTATATCACAACTTAACGAGCCTTAAAACTGAACAACACGGAACATAATAGGGAATATTAATCTTGAATTTCTGCATGCTGTCGTCTTCTTTCCGACTTAAGCACAAGCACAGGCGGCGAGGGAGAGAGACCTGTCCTTGGTGCTGAACACCATGCACACACGTACGCACACGCACGAACGCTCGCACGCATCCACGCGCGCGCGCAAACACACACACACAAACAAACGCACACACACACACACACACAAACAAAAGCACACACAAACACGTACACACACACACACACACACGCAGACCTGTCCTTGGTGCTGAACACCACACCACACACAAGGCGCCAACAGCAAGTACAACCATTACATGTTATCATAAACCTTTGATATGTTTACACGGTTACAAATAGGCTGTAAAGACGTCCTGACTATCCCACCTTGTTGGTATTGTGTCCGGGTAGTCAATGGGTCCATCCGTTAGACAGGAATGCCAGGCCTGATGCACAAGAAGTTGATTTCAGGTAGACGTAGCTGTGCTTGTATACATGTGTAACAAGCAAAATATACCCCTTCTTTTAATACCAACTGGTTGTGTACACGGCACATCAAGTACTACAACTTACAAGAATGGGCGTATTAATGATAAAAATCCACAACTTATCGAGTCATCCTGTCAAAAAACAAACATATTCGTACCGATGACATACTAGTAACCTTCTTTTGGAGAGTGGCCACCTACACATAACAACCACCTGCCTAATGAGACCACTTCCCATCGGCACAAGCATTAATGATCACTTGTCCGCATTTTATATCGGTTACGCTTAGTTGGCTTATTTTTAGCGCTTTTTTGGGCATTTTTGTCGGTAACTTTACATAGAAAACGGAGGGGGCCCTAAATTCGCCACTGTACCGTAAATTTGCCACTTTATGTTTCCTTATTTTTTTGACTATCCAGCAGTGATATTGATAATACTATTATAAAAGTGGCGAATTTATGGTACACCTACGCAAATATACACAATATTACGTCGCGTCATAACCGGCATGACCTATGACCTTGATATTCGATCAATCACCATGGTAACACGTACGTAAAAAGTCCAACAACAATAATGATATAACGGCAAAACGTGTCTTGGCTCTTGAAATTGGCCTTTAAAAAATAAGATTCAGAAAAAAAGTGGCGAATTTAGGGCCCCCTCCGTTATACAATGTATGTATATATAACATATGTGCAATGATAACGAAAGTTCACTGTGTCTCCCAGCTAGGTAGGATGAAAACGTCATGCAGATAACTATATAGTCCATACCCGATCCTTCACTTCATGACATTCTTCAATTGGAGGGATGTCAACTTCCTGTTGGTGAAATACAGAATCAACACAGTCACACATTCAAACAGGTAGAACAACAAAACATTGACGCAAAAGTCGGACAGTGACTTGCAGTGACGTTACATTTCCGCCAGATGGCGCCCCTCGGTATATGGCGGATGTTACCTCCGTGTACGGAATGAATAGCAATCGTAAATTGAAGTTACCTTTTTGGAGAGGTCCGGCCACGTCGGCTCGGGACATTCATACTCAACATTTGACCCGTCCCAGTCTACCTCCAACATGTGCTGAAGGGGGACAAACAACAGTTTCCTTTAAAGTTCAATTGAAACCTCCAACAAGAAATGACAGATTTCAGATTTCTGGGAAATGTATTGGGTATTGTGAGATATTATGTGGAGATACCAGATTGAATTACACCATAGAATGGATTATTACGGTTGTATGGTGTAACTTACTCTGGTTTTACACAAAGGTTTATGTTTCATACCATGATTACACAATACACATTCCTGGCGACCTCATGATCCAAATCCTACCACCAAGGACATGCAGGGCCACAACCCTGTCAATCAACTGAAAATCAATCTCTACCCACTCACTTCCAACCCTTGCTGCTGCTGATAACAAAATACAGAATTCCGCCTAAGTCAGTGCCACCCAAAACAATACTTCTGTCCTGGTAGCAATAACTTGGAAAGTTACACTATATACAGCATATTTGAAATAAAGTGTCGCCCTCAAGGAGCTTTTTTGAGTACAAATACTTTTCACGTTTCAGTAAGCGACTTATTTCACTGTAGCATATTTTTCTACAAGTCCTCATTTCCCCCGGCAACGAGGGTTTAATAAATGATAGGGCGAGAACCCCAGGCGTTACCAGATGCTGGCAATTCATTGGCTGTCGTTGATTGAATTACGAGGGGTTTCAGTATCCCCAACGACAGAACGTGATTTGTTTGTAGATTTGACCAATCAGCGATCGATACCACTAACACTATCAGTGTACGTCAACCAATGACCCGGCACGGTTCACACGGGGGCATGCGTAGGCCCGGATTTTGGTCACGTTTCTATCATGGTGAAGTACTATCTAAACCAGACTTGGTGGAACAGTCAGTGGGAAATGCAACAGGATATAGTTATTACATATTATGCATTCGTACTTCCGGATATACGAATAACGTTTATTTGTATATCCATACCAATATACACACTATAAACAAACTACATATGAAGAACAGTATCTGAATTATAAAGGTACTGATTCTAAACTTACTAATTTCTATGCTAGATCGCAACGCGTCTTGGTTCATTCATACAGTCAAATCGAATGAAGTTATACAAAATGATATTACCGAGGTGTAACTCAATAATGGGTCTACGATTATGAATGTGAAATAGACATGGCGAAAGTTAAAATCAATACACAGCTCGGCAGATGTTACTACACGTATTGACTCAAGAACCGGACCTTTTTCTGACATACACAATGTACACTACAACCCTGGAAGGCTGTAATTGGGGGAACGTTCAAAGATTGATTGAAACGTTATTTCATTCCGGCCCCAACGGGACAAAACACAATCATACGCAGTGGCTAGAAAGGCCATAAATTTGAGGGACCCAATACTTTGCAATGCCCTATCCGGCCCCCGAAAATATAAACGCTGTAGGGATTTCTGCAACGTGAAAGTATACTGTAATCTACTTGATACCCAGGTTTGCGACATGGCGTTACAATGTAGCCGGGCGAATCTAGATAGATTCCCCGCATTTTGACATCGGTGAGGCGGGTAAGGGTTGTATACGTGCGGCGCCTCACGGGGAAATATTATCTGTCCGTTTTACCTCAACTATCGCCGTTGGTCATTTTTTAGGGTCACCAAATAATCTTACCTCGCCATCGTCACAGAAATTCTTCGTGAGCCATTCCTTAGGCTGGTCTTCTTGGTCATGAGTATGTCCTGTTGAACACAGTACTGCGATTTGAAGTAAAAGAAGACTGAAGGAGCTTCTCTTCCTCATGGTGTCTTTAAGAGGGTGGATCTGCTCGGTTTATCTTGTCTGGCTCGTGTCTTGTCGTCTGCAAGCTGAGCCTGAGTGTTGCCCGTGTGGTGCCCTCACCACGTAGTCAGCTGTAACACTGTTCCCGGTGAGGTGGTCCGTACAGGCTGGCGTCATCGTGTACAGGGGACGGGCCAGTAGACATAGGGGGGCTCTAGGTGGTACATTTACGTCATTGAAAGGAGACGTGTGTGTTTTTTAAACATTTTCCTCGCTGAAGCAACTTTTGGCGCAAAATATGTGTTGGTTTACAGGATCAGGCAACAGAGAGAATGTTATAAAGGTGTGAAGGTATACCAGGCCATTTGGTTTCCTCACTTTAGAGATTTTCTGTTCAACTTAAAACAGTCGTGTCGCGCATCTGCTTGCAGTGGCTTTTCGGAACAAAGTGAATGCTCACTTGTCTACTACATATAGTCTACGTGGCAAACGTTATACGTCAATGGTTGCCAAGGACATTACACTCTGTGTACAATGCCCTTGTGGTTGCTAATGTCACTTACAAGATTATTCACCCTATACTTTTTAAATTACTGCTATTTTTTAGTCACTGAAGTAGTCTGTTAGGGATTTAGATGCTTTCACTAGGAGGAAAATATGTGTGGGAAAACGCGTAGACTTATTACGGACCAACAATAGTTTATTCAGACATTGGGTACTAGTATATGGGGGTGGTTCACCCAACGTGTTAGGGAACTGTAGCGGCCACGAGTAGAGTGAAGCTTTAAAATTGTTTGATAGTTGTTCGAACTTCAAGTTCAAGAAATCTAATATGTCACACCTCCGAGAAGTATTTACGCTTGTGAATTTCTTGTACTTTATTATTGTGAATTTCTCGCCGATTCTGTCCATATTCCACCGTCATTTCCTGCAGGAAGACCATTTTCACCTAAAATTCTACCTTCTTGTCAGTCTGCGGTTATACCATTTCCCCCTTACATTTCCTGTCACCTTACTTTACTCAAATAGCTACAGACATACAAGCCAACAGACAGGTACACACATCGAAAACAAAGCGCTATGACAGGTCTCGCTTTTAGCTTAATCAGATCCCAGGACGCAGCATTATTTTTATCCGTAGGACAATGTCTTAATTCTTAGGTGCAACTATATTCTAAATGATTATTCCCGTTGTATTTCTTGCAATGATATGTGTGATAGGCATCAGACAATATCACCAGTCATTGTATGTAAAATCATGACTTAAATTTTTCATTCAAAACAACTTTGTAAATCCATTCCCCCAGTAGGCAGGTAGGAAAATCACGGTAGTAAGACTATTCTTTAGTCTGCGTTACACAGTTTCTCAATGTTAGGGGCTAATTGACTCCCTCCGGTAAGTTAGGTTGGCATGATTTATTCAGGCTGGACTATTCATAATTTGGTGTTCGGCATCTCCGCAACCTTCGTCGGCATCTCGGCAAACTCATTGGCGATGACGAGATCCTATGAAAACATGCGAGAACAGTTTTCTACGGTTTTGTGTCATTACCGTACGGTAGGATAGAAAAGTTTGTAGCATAATCAGAATCTCTATTGTCCACATTGACTAACTAGACATCCCTGCGAAGTAATAAAAAAAAACACGATTCTTCAGATCAAATTCGTGTCTCGTCAGAACAAGATGACTTCGGTAATAGCTTTAATTTTGTTTTCTTTTAATTGTAATAAAGTGGCGTTTAAAAGACGCCTCGGCGACGTGATTCTCCTTTGATCTGGGTGATGATCATGATGTCTGTTTTGGTTATTGTTGATGGAGGTGCTTGTTTAAGTATGTGAGCCAGTCATAAGTTTCTCACGAGGATTTAATAATAAACATGCTCTTGAGAGGTAAGGCTATTCTAGCATTTCCTCATGAATTATGCAAATTAGGACCTGATTTGAATGAATTATTATTAGATTAGAAAATTTTCAACTCAATCGCGGTGCTATACCATCGGCTACGCCCCTGCGTCGCCAAAAATTATCACCCTAAGGTAAACGAACCTTGGAATCGATGTTGGGGTCTTGGTCGCCCTCTTCCCGAGCCCATGGCTGGACGTCAGTGCGCATGAACACCACGGTGAAAACCCCTCCCACACCCTGAATAGCCGCTCCTATGTAGAAGATTGTGGACCAGCCTGCGAGGGTTGGCTGAAACAGGTCACAAGTACTGTACATCTGTTCGTATTATTTTAATGGTAGTTATCCCAATAGAATTTCTGCCACGTTATACTAACCCACCAGCGCTAGGATAAAATTAAGTTCATCTGTGTTGGTACTTACATGTACAAAGATAAAATTTTGGATCCAACACAAAAAATGGCTCACACTAGAGCTTTCGACCAGTCACTCTGGTCTTCCTCAGTAGATCACTGACTCGCTGGTCAGTCTATTGAAGAAGGCCAGAGTGAGAACCAGCCTTTGTGTTAGATTATGGCTTAGGTTTTAACTTGACACGAGTTTATGACTAGTTATCAAAATCCCTTTGTGTACTGACATCGTTATCTGTGACAAGTCCGACCAACAGCGGAGCGAAGATGCCAGCAGCGGTTCCCCCCATGTTGGCCAGGGCGAAGGTCACGCCGCTGAACCTGGGCGCGAACTCCACATGGACGGCGCGGAACCCCGCCACCGTCAGCCCGTTGAAGAACTCCGTGGTGCATAGCAGGGCAATGGCGGCGACCGGCTCACATCCGCTCAGGTTCGCCAGGACCACTCCGCAGATTGCCGCGCCAGTAAACCCTTCATTCACAGAGCCAACAACAATAACTAACATTAATCTACATCATAAAGACTTAAGGTCTCCTTAGTAGCCTCGTCGACGATTGTAAACTTTTTCTCAATCATAACATCAGACTCGAGTCTCACGTACTGAAACATCTTAGAGACTTGGCAAGAGACAAACGCAGATGGATTGAACTGTACAGAGACATACACTGATTTGGTCTGTCAATTGTAGTTTGCTAATTGTAATCTGCTAATTTACAGCCAAGAACAGTTAATTATTATTATATATAAAGACTTAACGTGACCATAGTTCTCTGGGTAAGCCACAGTTTTAACTTCGATTTGCCGCAAGTCTTACCTATGATAACGAATCCTCTTCTTATCCACACCTTGGGGATCTTCCCGCCTTGAATCAAGCGGTCGGCTGCAAAGCTTGACGTCAGCATGGAGATCATACTAACGATGAACGGAAGAGCAGACAGCAAGCCATTCTAGAGCAGAAAAAGAGGTTTTAATGGATACAAGGATATTTGGATATTTGTCGTATTGATCGAGGTCCAAAGGGGGATCCTTGAGGAACCCATATCACTACATGTTGCCTACAGGGAAACTGACGTAGTAAGTCGGACCATCATAACAATGTAAATGTATTGTCTGTATGTATGAATACCAGGAAGACTAGTGATGGACCCTAGGGTCCACCGCTAATGGTTATTCTAACAAAGTTTCATAACATACCGCTCTAATGTTGAATCCCAACACAGTTTTCATGTAGTTCGGCAGTTGGGTAACCAGGAAGTAGATTCCCCAGTTCGAACTGAACTGACCAATGACGAGTGCCCAAACGGAAGGCGATGTGAGTAGCTTCAGCCAAGGAACTGCTCGCTTCTGTCGGACAAAATTTCAGTGACATTCAGATCCTTTGCCATTTACCATAAGTTTACAAACTGTATGTATTGTGTACTAAACGTCGAATACATTTATTAGACTTTCTTATACCACATCATTACCAACAGCAAAAGTTAACAAGACAGACTAAATATAATGGAAATCATTTTTGAAAGTTTTGAAAAACGTCATACCTGTTGTTCCCTCAGCCCGGTGCTGGCTTCGATGTACTTCTGTTCTTCCTTTGAGATCCGTGGATGTTTTGCGGGAGAGTCGTAAGCCAGGAGAATCCATGCTACGAGCCAAACTGCCACGGAAGCGCCTATAAACAAAAGCCGTAGAAATCCTTTGAAACGTTTTGAGCCATTGAAATATTGTACAGAAAATAGAGTGTAGAAAGAAATGCACTTTTGTCATTGCCCTCATTATAATAGCACCGAAAGAGATAAGTTATTTGACATGGTCGCCAAAATGTTCCCTGTCTTTATTCACTTTCCCAGCCTACAAAAAACTGCACTTCTATTAACTCCTCGCAATTCATACATCTCGCAAAATGTCGGCCATTTAATTTCATAGTCCACTGCACACAGAAAAGAAATCAAACCCAGCAATAACTATATCCAAAGTAGCATTAGCATTACTTATTATCATTTTTACTGTTTATTTTGTTATCACATTCTTGCAATTAGCCCTCGGGCATGAATTTACACCATTGAAACATAAACTCACAAACAGCTTCAGTCCCAACAATAGCCTCTACTGGGCTACAAACGTAGGCCACAGCAAGTAATTTTTATGGATGACATCAGCGCGCGCATTGATTTTCGCCTGATTTTGGAAAAAAAAGAGAACTTTTGTTGCCCTCTGACAGTGGTCAACATTATGTCTGTTGCGCATGCCATGCCGGAACGTGGATGGTAGATAAATATGAAGAGAGGAGACAAGAAAAGGACCTGATTTAGTGTTTTGTTTCTTACTTTGATGCAGTGATATGTGATGCTGGCTGTGTATATGTGATGTTCCCACTGAATCAAAACCATTATTTTGTACAATACGTACTTGAGTCAAAATTTGAAAATGTAGGAACCTTGTTTTTTCGGCCCGTCTTGTTTTGTTTCGCCCGCTCGCATCAGATTTGGAGTCTGCGGAGGATGTCATCCATAAAATTTACTTGCTGTGGCCTTACATACGTCTCAAGGGGTGAAAACGTTTGATTCGATCACGAAGCCCAATAAAAATCATAAAACCATGGTTTTTTGTTTGCGATAACACAACCTCCTTGATTTTACATTTTCAATATGTGTTCTTACCAGGGATATAGAAGATAGCCTCCCAGCCCAGCTCGGCAGCTAGGAAGGCCGACAGTGGGTAGTTGATGACGTTACCGAGGGGCAACCCTACATTGTTGTGACGATTGAACAAAACACACCATATTTATCAATATAAAGGCTAGCGCAACGTTTCAAACCAACGATAGATGGATGAAGCAGGCTGATTTTGCCCTGTCTATCCTGCCCAGGCTTAGTCTCTAACAGACTAACTACGCCGGCTAAATATAGGGAGAATATTTGTCAGGGGAGTTTGGGCGCCTTAGGGTTTGACTGGCTGCGCAGTTTATAAGAAGGGAAAGAGTCAACCCTCCGCGGACTGACTCGCCTGGCCAATATGAATTTACCTACTCTCCAAGCAGAGGTTTGGGTTTTGGGGGTATTTTTAGTGTGTTTTTAGGCTTTTTTGTCGGGGTTTCTC